ATTGATTATAACAGTATTAGATCAGTTGGGGTAGGCCAGTACCACATCCGTATAAATCAATTACTGAATATAGAAAAGACAAATAATGTCTGACAATGTTTTAAGAAAATCACTTTATATTTAAAACTACTAAAACAGACATGCCAGCATGGACCTCTCCACATATGTGGCAGCATATTTATTCAGGTCTATTGGGAGGCCTTTGCTCCCCTATTACCTCTATCCATATATAATCGGGACATCGAATTTTGCTTTCTGGGAACAATAAAGAAGCTTTGTTGGACGCATGGATATTACTGCTTACCTGGGTACGGATAGTTTTCAAATTGAACATTTGTAATATGTACCAGCTGTATTTCTTGGTTACAACAAATATATTCCAATATATAGATTGTTTTATATGGAAAAAGCATTTACCGTCTATTCTTTTCTTTGCAGGTGAAAAACGTTTTGGATGACATTTTGGAAAAGCTTCCAGAAGAATATAATTTGCAGGAGATAATGCAGAAGACCACAGAGAGGAGTCCATACATCCTGGTCTGTTTCCAGGAATGTGAGAGAATGAATATCCTTATGAAAGAGATCCGGAGGTCATTAAAAGAACTTGACCTGGGACTGAAGGTCAGTTGGCTTTACTGAAGCTCATTTCATAACTTGAAAGCCAGTAGCACTGACATGACTTTGTCTTTCTAGGGGGAGCTCACCATCTCCTCAGATATGGAGGCTCTGCAGACTGCACTGTACTATGACAGTGTTCCTGACTCTTGGACAAAGCTGGCATATCCATCAACATTTGCTCTAGGGCACTGGTATTTAGCAATCTTTTCTTTATGTATACTGCGCTGTTAAAACACATGGTGACTAATATTACAATGATGTTCAATTAGATAAATGTATATTTAATTAGCAATCCAGGCCAAATGTTTTTCTAGTGTTAAAATGGCCATACTCTATGAATTTTGGCTGGTTCTTGATGAACCAGATGAAATTAATTTGATGGGTGGCCATCAGCACCTTTCTATCCGGCATTATTCAATCTGAAAATTGAGGGAGCCAAAAGAAAAATTTTAGGGCACGCCCGTCACTCTCAGAATACAGTAGCCCAGCTGGAGATTTGTCCATCTACACTTTTATATTGCGCAAAATAAACCTTCCACCTAGGATGTATCGTACCATATCACTGATTTTTAGTTCCAGCTTTAAGAATTGTAATACATCATTCCTAGGATTACTGATCTGCTGCTGCGATGTCGAGAACTGGATATGTGGACACAGGATTTGGTGTTACCAGCAGTCGTCTGGCTTTCTGGATTTTTCAACCCACAATCCTTCTTAACAGGTGAATTTCCCTAGAAGCCTTTTAAGTGCCATTTTTTGTTAACAGTGCTTTTAATAACTTGAACCAGATGAAAATTCATAGCTGAGCTATAGCAAATATCTTTACAACTAGTGAAAAAGGCCAACTTTAACCAAAAGTAATTATATTAGATAAACCCTGGCCTGACCACATATTGTTTGTCTCTCTCTGGGAAGACGTCGCACTTGTACGCAGGAACATGCTCACTATTGATGGCTTTCAGTGGTAAGCGCATAGGCACGCTTGCCAATTTCTTGTATGGCATCAGAAATGATATTGCTAAGGAGGAAATATTTTGATTGGACTCCGACTTACTTTATGGGGTGTAGGTGGTAAATGTTATTAGGCCGAGGTTTAATTTTCTACATTTTAAGAAGGTGGATTCCAATGTGGGGACTGATTCTTTACTGGTATACAATAAACTTTATTGGCATTAAAAGATCACTTGAAGAAATTCAATTTTTATCTTTTCCCAGCAATTATGCAGAGCATGGCACGGAAGAATGAGTGGCCATTGGATAAAATGTGTTTAACGGTTGATGTGACAAAGAAGGCAAAAGATGACTTTGGCCATCCTCCTCGTGAGGGAGCATATATTCATGGACTGTTTATGGAAGGTAAAAATATGCCAATTATTGTCACATCCTAGTAAGGAAAGAGCAAGTCATTTGTATTAAAATAAAACATGCACTGCACTAGCCCACATCGGCTTCTGTAGGTTAGATGTTCTATGCTATCATTGTTTTTCATTAAGAGCACAGCTGATGTCACCTGTACAGTTATAGACAATAGCTGTCACTTTGTCTTGCTCTTGTGTATGGTTGAATGCCAAAGACATTAGAAAACAGAATTTGATTTATTATTTTGGATGTAATTATGTACAAAGCAGTTTTACGGACTTTGTCTTTTTAGGTGCGAGGTGGGACATCCAGGCAGGTGTGATATCCGAGGCTCGTCTCAAAGAGCTGACCCCAGTCATGCCTGTTATCTATGTCAGAGCAATTCCAATCGACAAACAAGAATTGAAGAACATGTATGACTGTCCCGTGTACAAAACTAAAATCAGGGGCCCAACCTATGTGTGGACATTTAACCTGAAGACCAAAAAGAAGCCAGCCAAATGGGTTCTAGCAGGAGTGGCCTTGCTGTTAACAATTTAATTCCAAATGTCAGATCTGCTATTTGTATCACTGGCAAAACTTTAATGTTACATCCAAAAATGGGTCGTGTAGAAGAAGCCTAAAAACCACATACTGGGCAAAAGTTTACATTGGGGTGTGCTTCATAGTAATTAGTGCTAGTTGTGACACACCTCTCTACAGCTATACTTGTTATTTTGCTAAATCAACAGTTACAAACTTATTTAAAAACAGAAGAAGCATGCCTGGATTATTTGCAGAACTTCTAGAAAAAAAATATATTAAATGCATACTTAAGCATCTTCCCCATGGCTGCTTGCAGGAGCCTAAGAGTATATGACCTGTGCCTTGATTTGTTCTAGCTGCCTAGATCAGAGGTCTCTGTACCACAGAGCACTTGGCGCTCTATAAAAAAGTGATACGCAGATCAATGTAGCTCCCCCCCAATCCTGCCACCCTTTTAATTTATGGGGTCACCCCATCTCCTTTCCATGCCAGAAAAGGACTAGGCAAACACGGTGAGAGGCAAATAAGAATAGAGAATAAGGCGGAATACAAAGCACATGAATCTATTTATTGATTGGGAAATGGGAACAATGCTATATACAATTACTTTGCTGTAGAATTCAACTTTAAAACTTCTGTCATTTTACCAAAACTACTTCTAAAAAAAAATGACCGTCCCTAATCTGGAAAATATTATTCAGAACTATATATAAAAATCAGTATACATTTTTTCATGGAGGTATAAAAATTGTAAAAAGAATTATAGAATTTACAGACAATACATTCAAGGTAAGCGAAAGGTTATGGATCCTTTAGCCAAGCTGAAAGAGGAAAAAAGAAATCATGAAATTCAAAGTGACGTTAATTGCAGCTTTAAAAGCACTAAAAATACTAGAAGCTTCCTATGTTCTCTTCTATTAGACTCAGGAGAGAGGCACACGTGTGCAAGATTAGAGCAGAGGTTCACCTCACACAGGTTGTCCAACCATCTCCTGCACTGCTAAAATCCCTCCAGTCCAAACTACTGTTTTATGGACTTGGTAACAAACGGGAACTGTAATCACTCCCAGCTCTCATTCCACTGTTATCAGTAACACATTTGTGAAACTAACTTCCTCACCTCCTGATGTGGTGACAACTGTAGTGAACACCAGGACAAATATAGGAGGGTGAAGCTCAGCAGCAGGGACACAAAAAGCATAATACCAGATAGGGGTTCCTACCCTTCCACACAGTCTATCCAAACCTAAAACAGTAGCCTTCAGCTTTAGATACACAAAGTTCCTTTACAAATGTGTGACTTGTAGCACAATGACATGAGGCAACTGTCACAGTACTAAGGGAATCAAATCTCAGTGTTTTTGAGTCCTAATGCCTTACTACCTACCACAGCTCACACATAAAATCATGGGAGGTTTCTGGTAGATCAGAACTTGTCAACAGCAGCCCAAACTGTTAAAGTTCAGAGTAATCTGTAAGGTGCTAAACCAAGTGTGTACTAATATTTACCGTGAACCTGTAAGGACAGAAATATGGGTGCCGTCATTGCAGTCTTGGTATTAAAGATATAGGCTCCATCACTGGCATCTAGATCCTGGCTTTACAAACTAGTATTAAAAGTATGCAGGGCAGGCGTTCAGACTTCACTGGTTACATGCTTTTTCCAGGACAGCAGAGTCAATAGCACATATTCTGTTCTTGGAAAAAATAGGATTTTTGTACTCACCGTAAAATCCTTTTCTCTCCGTTCATTGAAGGACACAGGGCAACAGATCGTAGATCCTGAATGGTAGGGTATATCGCCACCTGCAGGAGTAGGACGCTAGGCACATAACAAAAAGACAAGACAGCCTAGGGGCGGCCCCTGCTGGTGGCCCAACCCCTCACTTGCTGACAAGTCTCCAGTAAGTAACAAGCAGTTAATGTCCAGAACCAAAACCAGATACTCCAGGCGTGGCGAAGGCACCAGACAAGACTTTCGCAGGTTCAGAAGCCACCCGAACTCCTCCAAGGACCGCACCGTGACCCCCCCAGGGCCGTCACCATGGAAGAATGCTACTCTGCCCGTAGGAGCAGATCTTCCAGGTACCCCACGATCGAAACACCCCGACAACGCAACAGCGCCAGAATCGGGGCCAGCACCTTGGTGAACACACGTGGAGCCGACACTAGGATCTACAATCATCCAGCCTGTCGCCCTGGGGACACTTGCTAGAAGAAAAATCAAGTCAAACGGAAGAAAGGAAAAAAATTCTTCAGAGAAAATTTTTTAGCTCCTTACTCCTGACGCTAGGCAAAAAACTGGAGACTTGTCAGCAAGTGAGGGGTTGGGCCACCAGCAGGGGCCGCCCCTAGGCTGTCTTGTCTTTTTGTTATGTGCCTAGCGTCCTACTCCTGCAGGTGGCGATATACCCTACCATTCAGGATCTACGATCTGTTGCCCTGTGTCCTTCAATGAACGGGAGAGAAAAGATGCCTGCACCTTTAGAACTAAGTCACAAATGGAAGCTTTTTTTTATGCACAGGTTAGCGTTAGGTAGAGAGTGAGATTAGGAGCTTAGGGAATAGAATGACAAGAGAATCTACATTCTGGCACAATGCAGATGCGTTTATGGGATGTACAAATCCATTCTTCTATGAAAAGCCTCCTGAAATTCCTCTTCACTCGTTCTCCGCCAATCGCTTTTGTAAGCTGAAAGTGAAAAAGCAAATCAAATGAAATCAGAATGCTGCAAAAACAAAGAAGAAAACAGCTATAAATTAACGTTATGTATAAAATGTAATTAAAATTAATTTGTGCAGAAATCTTTTTTAAAACCTATGATATTTATTGTTTTGTATTATAAAAATGGATTACCTTGAGCACTACATTTTGTGGATTAACCATTTATAGTCTTTTGTAAAAATTTGCAGTGTGTTTAAATTAAAGTGGATAATGAAAAAGTTACTTGTAAATAATCAGCTTTCCTGTATATAAAAATTAAATCTGATTTCCAATAGTTCCTAATATCTCAGTGCATCTAGTGGTTTAACAGTGGTAATGAATTCTGGTCCTCGAGTGTCCCTAATGCCTTCAATTGTAAAAACAAAATCGATCAAGGCAACCAGCATGAGTTGCTGTCAGTGACTGATCACTAGGGTGGCATGGCCATAACAGTGCAAGCTTTTTCATGTCTCTTCACAGACGGGATATCTGGAGTTATACTCTCTCGGATTACTACAGTTGTTCCCACATTTTAGTACACAAATGGGGGGGTGGAGGTTCCCCTCCCTGCCATCAGTAGGGTCAACCGATATCAGGCAACTGCCTGCTGTTCACATTTAGCTTCCAGCACAGCTGGATGTAAACAGAATAGAATAGAATATTGGTACCCGATATTGGTTATCGGTTCGAAAACAGAAAAAAAAAAGAAAAAAAACCATCAACCTCTACTCTGTGGTCCTTATAATGGTTGCATTAGGGCAGCCCAGAAAGGCTGTATACACATGGCAATGAACAAAAACAAACCTGCAGCACTCTAATCCAACACTAGTCGTAACCTAACGGTGCCCATACACTGCACGATTCTCGTACGAGAATCGTGGGAAATTTTTGACTGGTTTTTAACATGATCGAGAGACAACTGCCGAACGGGCCGGTGTGCGCACACTGCCCGTTCAGCATTGCAGTCATCGGAAGCCCGCCCCTCAGGGGTGCAGGCTTGCGATGATCGCAGGTACGATCTGCCTGTCCAAGATGGGCAGATTGTACGTTTTTTTAATTACTTTACAACCCTTGCAAGACAAAAGTCTTGCGAGTGTTGTACAGTGTATGGGCACCTTAACACTAGCCCTAATCTAACAAAAATCGATGCATGTGAGGCCAACATTGACACACTGTGCACCGCAATCTTATAACAAAAAACAAGGAGAGGATGTGGATGGGAAGGAGCTACAATTGGTTACAATTATTTCACAGAAATATTCTTACTATACAGGATTTATATCGCGCCAACAGTTCGCGCAGCGCTTTACAATATAAGGAAGACATTACAATCACAAGACAAGATGGTAAGGAGGGCCCTGCCCCTGAGGGCTTACAATCTAATAGGGAGGGGCAAGTGATACATTAGGAGGTAGCTGTGTGGGGATGAATTTTGAGAAAGTGATGGTTCAGTGGTTAGCTTGAGGTGGGATAGGCTTCCCTGAAGAGATGAGTCTTAAGGGATCTCCTAAAGGCAGTCAGAGTGGGAGATAGACAGACAGGATGGGGTAAAGAGTAAAATATTATGGACAAAAGCCTCTGTGGAGAAGAAGCTACAAGTATCATACAAAAGGAAGATATACAACCATAGAACACAGTAGTTAGTATGCAACAAAGAAAGCGGAAAGTGCTGGGGCTACACCTACTCACCTCTCCAGATATTCTTTGACATTGTCATGACCAGAAAATTTGGCCAGGTGAATGAGCATCCCTGTGGCACATCGACCATCTCTTTTGCGACAGTAGCTACAGTTGCAGATCTCGCGACATGGAGGACATATCCAATCCTATGATCAGATGGGGGAGGTATTGGTTTTTAATTTAAACAAACTTCACAACAGTCTTGGTTCTTTCTTTGAATGTCCATTGAAAGGAAACCTGTTACTACTAAACATTGGGACCAACAGGGACGTGTAGTTGTGCAAAGCTGAGTGGACATAATGACAAGCATGCAGCAAGTGTTCTGCAATAATCCTTTTTGATTCGCTTGGCCAGGTGAAAATGGTTGGCAGGCAACTAGCATTTTATAAATGAAATCGCTGATTATCTGCTCAGTTATATCTCCTATGACAGGTTTCTTTGCTAAAATGGAGAATAGGTTACCTAAAGGCTATATGTCTTATGCAAACGTATGTATGTAAACATTCTCAATGTTGGATTACTGGACAACTATGCAGTGTGTATGCTGCTAAAATCACTTCACAATCCACACAAATATATTCAATAGTGACAATTTCATCAACTTAAATTTACACGTTTGTCAATTAAGTATATATAAACTCTTACACAAACTAACGGCAGCTTGCATGGATATTGCCGATTTATAATAAGATAGTAAACCAGGAACTTTGTCTTACCTGTAAAAAACATTTCTTGGAGTACATCAAACGGACAGAGAGAATGAATTTTCAATGGATGGGTCAGTGACTTGTCACTGGCAAAGCTGTAAGACAACCCTGCATAACCTTGTGCCCTGTGATGTACTCGAAGACATGGGTTTAACTGGCAAAACAAAAATCCTGTGATCTTCACCGTACATCAAAGGACACAGGGAATTGATTCTTTAACTGATGGGACTTCCAAAAGCATTCCAACAGAGGGGTGGGCAACATCGCAAACAATGGCTATCAGACCCATGAAAACAAACTCTAACTCCAACAGGGAACCATAACAGAAGAGGACCGCAATTTAAAGGGCCATCAGAAGAACCTTGCGTCCAAAACTAGCATCAGCAGAGGCCACCTGGTAAAACATTGCAGTGTGAACAGAGGACCAGGTGGCCCTACAGATTTGGAAAGCTAAAGCCAGATGCTGGAGATCCCAAGAAGTACTAAACACTCCTACAATGCACCGTAACCAGAAACGGAGGGGGACTTTCTAGTTCTCCGAATCCACCTAGGTGGAACGAGAAGTTGGCTGCCCCATACGGTAACACTCAGGAATGACAAAGAGGTTAGAAGCTAGAGTAAAGAGATAAAACATGAAAAGCTTGAACTATGTCCAAACAGTGAAGAGAAATTTCTATGGGACGCTTCAGTACTACTTCATCCTTGTGGAATCCAGAAGAGGCACTTTACAAGTCAAGGCCTGAACACTGCTGGTGGAATGGTGTGTCCCAAAGAGTGCTTCTTAGGATGAAACTTCCTTGCTTCGCACCAAGCGATATAAACCTTCCAGGTGCAATGATAGACCTTGTGGGTGGTGAGCAGAAGCAAAGGAAAAAAAAGAGCTTCTGTGAGGCCTGTGAGGGTAAAATACTAGTCCTAGGGACAGTCGGTCTGAATGATCTGAAAGTGTGCACAGAGAGTCTGCCAGGTGTTTGACTACAACCATGTACCACAGTCTCCTGGGCCACTTGGGAGCAATAAGGTTGACCAGCCAGGTAGAAGGGACTTTTCTTCAGGACCCTGACGACTGAGGTAGTCCATCAGCCAAGGCTAGCCTAAGCAACATTCTTAAAAGGGACAGGATTCTCCCCAAAAATATTGTTAGGCCCCAGAGTCTGACATCCATGCCTATGATACACCATTGCCTGAGGGGGAAGACCCCGGTACTCATAACTATGGCGGTCGCTGTGGAGCTAACCCATAGGCAGCAGAAGTAACCCAGCACAGCAGTCGGCAAACATGTAGACTCCCTCAGCATGCAGAGTTGCAGCCTGTGTAGCCAGCTCAGTGTGAACAAAAAAGCCATATGGCACTCGCATGCAAAGTACAGGCACCATACACCCTCCCAGGGGCAGGTGCTAAATTTAAAAGACAGGGGGAATTGTGAATCCCCTGCTGCTGGAACCTCAATCGTGACCCACAGAGCGAAGGAACAGAAAATGAGTACCCGAGTAGGGACAAGCCCTGACTTACCACCTTCAGACTGTGCTGCCTAGTAAGCCTCCAGTCACTTAAAGGGGATATGCCCCATTCAGTCGTTGCTTTTCTGGTAGGTATGCCCCCCTAAGGTGGTCTTCAGGGACATGACTCCACCGAAATGGGCCAGAGCCCTGGACCTGTAAAGAATCCTGCATCAACTACACATGCTGCACATGTGTCAAGAAGAGTGCCCCATACAGGATCCTGTGCCTAAGTACAATACAGGCCAGCCTTGAATCTTCTTCTGGCGGGGACTGGGTATGGTCCAAGACTCTACTGAAAAGAAAACCCATCCAAACTGCTGCTGGTAGGTGCTGCATGGCTGTGTCCAATCACCTGAAGGTAGCTGCATACCCCATTTGTTGAAGCCTTAACTCCTTGTGTCCTGTGATGTACAATTAAGAAACTCCTCCCTCCCCATTTATATCTCCAAATATTATTCACACTTTTGTTGTTCCAGAAACCAGCTTCTCTAACAGGGTTATTGTTATTGGAGACGGATTTATTATACTTCGGCAGTGTCATTTACACCTCCGACTTCCTTTTTCCAGCTGCTTTAATAGAACTGAACCACAATAAAACCTGCCCCTGACCACTTCTCGACTGTGCGTCTGCTAGGAGTGAAAAATCTGTCTCCACTCAATGAAAATCTGTACAAAATCAGATCACAATCAAATACACAGAAAAACTGTTCTATAGACTTTGTTAAAGCTGAACTCCAGCCTTACCTTTTGTCATGCACAGTCATACAGACTCCTCCCCTTTACTGAATTTGCTTACTATGATTTAGCCACACACTGTGCGTTAGAAGCTGTAAGGCCTCGTTCACACCATCCTCAGTGTGTTCCGGCCCGATAGTGTTTGCAGCATTTTTTTCGGACCGGACCGTAGGCATTGATGTGCCTTGAGTTCCAGTGCAGCCGATCGCATTGCGGCCGGAGGGTGTGGCTGCGATCCAGCCACAAATCGGGCCGGAACGCACTGAGGATGGTGTGAACAAGGCCCAAGTCATATAGAGCTTGTCTCATTTCTTGCCTGGAGGATGTCCAGCATTATCTAGCTCTTTCCTCTCCAGCCTGACTGTTCCTGGTGTGCCGTTTCCATTTATCGAATTTCAGTTCTTTCAATCATGGAGGCTCAGCATCACATGTGGGCATTACCTAGTGCCGTCTGCATGCAAATACCACCTGCCTGGGAATGCCAAGTTCTCCGAGCTCACATCGACCCATCAAGGCATTCCGATTTTTCTATAACTCCTCCCAAGAGCCAAACTAATTCTTGCAACAAGGCCGAGGGCTCTTGAGAGCTGTGTACAAAACCATGCTGGATCCTCCCACCAGCCTTGACCAGCATGCATTGCATAGAGTAGCACAGAGGTCCAGTAATGACGTACTTGGATTTAGAATAAAGGTATATAGTGAAAATCGAAAGTTTTTATTTAAAAATGTATTTATCTAGTTGGTAAGGGAAGGGACCAGGGAGGGCAAAGTAGAAGCAGCTTAAACTCCAGCTGTAACCGACAGGCAGCATGACTTGCATCTAAATGTTTTGGTCATTTGTTTGATAATTGTCCCTTCGCGTCTCCTATAACATTCAAATTACTAGATTACGGTTTGACTACTTACAGGGTCTAGAAGTGCCTCTCTCACATCTTCTCCATAGCGATTTCGTAAACAGGGCCCACAGAACTGGCCTCTGACTCCGCCACAGCCAGGATTGCGGCAGAAGGTTTTTGTGTCTACTGTTTTTTGGCGACACTGATGACAAGTATTACCCTATAAAAGAGAAATGCCAAGTCAGTGTCTACAAGAAGAACCGTTGTATGCAGTGTAACTGTCCAAGAGACAGCCCACAATGCATTTACATACAAATCTATATTCCATATGAACTATAGAAACAATATGTAAACATTACCAGTATTTTGTCATAAACTTTGTCTTTAACGGTATCTGCGACATTCGCCAGCTCATCCTCTGTGATATCCTCTACTGGACGGTAGTTGTTGCCTTTTGATGACCTCCGCCTCTTCCGAATCTCTTCTTTTTCCTCCTAATACGGTTTTAACAACAAATGAATCTGGGGGAGCCAACAGATCTCCAACGCGGAGTTACATAGTTACATATAGTTACATAGTATTTGAGGTTGAATAAAGACATCAGTCCATCAAGTCCAACCTATTAGGATCTCATTCTAGGAGTACCCGTACCCCTGTATATTACGGTCCCTTAAGAAATCGTCCAAAAGTTTCTTGAACAATTCCACATTAATTGCTGAAATCACCGCCTGTGGCAGTGAGTTCCGGACACTAACTGATCTTACTGTGAAGAACCCCCTTCGCCCCTTGTGCTGGAATTTTTTTTCCACCAATTTTAGGTGGTGGCCTATAGTTTTTGTAATGGAGTTAATTTTAGTTTATCGCTAATGTTGTAAGATGTAGAGAGCAGTTGGTGCAGCATCATGGAGTGAAAACCATATGCAAAATACACTAGGTCATACTGTCAGGCATTTCTGCCTCATCTTAGTAACAGGGTTGCTGTAAAAGTCCCAAAGTCCCAAAACTGCCTGTACAGGAAACGTTTACCGTCCATGCAAGTCCACATTGTCAAAGCTTCAAAATCCTTGTCTGTGTTTATGTAAATCTTGACTCAGAAAAACCCCTTTAACCCCTTCATGACTGAGGCCCTTTTTTCATTTTTTGCACCCATGTTATATTCCACATTTAGCCAGAATTAAGAGACAAACAAGGAATCCACAAGAACAGGTGTACCATGAAAATCCTATAGGTCTATCCAACTACAAAATGCTAATCTGACAATTCAGGGTGGTGGGATATATGCCAGGCACATACTCCAGTGTTCTGCAGTATCCCCCAATCCAATAGAAGCTCACAATATTACTTACTTCACTCAAAGGACGCCTGTGAAAAGCCTTCTTCCCATATTTCTGGAGATGCTCTGCGAACTGCATGGCGGAAGCGGTAAAAGTTTCCAGGGCAAAGTTCTCTGGTGGTCGTGCACTTCTCGTGGGATTAGTGCGTCTTTCAACTGGACCCTCAGAAAAGGTTCTACGGCTTGTCTTCTTTTGCTTCTGGAATAAAATAAGTGATCAAAAATATATTAATAAAGCTCCTGTCCTTCTGTCAAACATAAGAATAAAAACATAACTGAGCAAGTTTATATAAAAAGTCTCAGGTTGTTTCCCTCAATTGTCCTCCATGAGCTGCTAGTTTCACACCTAAAAACCTGTATTTTAATTATTACAGGTATTTATATGGTGCCGACAATTTACAACGCGCTTTACACAGCGAAAATTCACATCAGTCCCTGCCTCAAGGAGCTTACAATTTAAAGGTCCTCCTCTCACATACACACATACTAGGGATGATTCAGAACGGAGCCAATTAACCTTCCAGCATGTCTTTGTATTATAAGCAGAATAAAAACCCAGCACTCAGATACTGCTCTCTAAGTGAAAGATGAAAAATAAATCCACGCCAGCCCGCATTCATCACCATGAAAAAAAGCAATAGTCTAGCGGGAGGTTTTAAGGATATTTTGTAATGAATATATTGCACCTCGAGTTTTTACATGATTGTAGTTTTTGTGGTCTGTACTGTTCCCTCGGAACAGGTATGTGAATGGCTGCCTTCCTAAAGGGTGATGTGGATGAGCTGAGCAGAGGGATATTGTACTTCTAACTGGCTCAGAACGGCAAACTGAAGGATGTTGGCATCTGCTGGGATCATTTTTTTGGGAAGGGCGGGTATTAGAATTATGTAAGAGCTAATGTATACAGATCACTGTTTTTGTGCTTTTTACCTTTAGAAGATATGAAGTTCATGCATTTTAGGTCAATGCTGGTGGTGAAACCAGTATCAGACCTGTGGGGATTGTTGAAGCTGGTTAACGAAGGCATGCTCTGAAATAAAAAATAATCTCTAGAAAGGAAAATAAACCGAAAATAAACCGAACTTACTGAAGGAGGAGGAGTAGGTTTCATTGGAAACAGGTCAGGAACAGAATGGAGTTCTGCAAGTAGCTGGGCCAGCTGCATAAGAAACAAAAAGAAAATTAGACCACAAAAGTGCCAGAAGACCGTGTATGAACAAGTGCCTCTCAAAAGTCAAAGTAACCCTGGAACTGATATCACAGTCATCAGAGACACCTTAGAGGTGTGTGCACCTGTGCATGTGTATTGTAGTTATGATTTATAATTAAAGAATTACATACACTATAATGCTCACGCATGGCACAGCGTGAGGGACACCAAGTGAGGTAGTCATTAATTCAGCATCTAAACACAATCACACATCCGGAATGCTTAGGAAACTCTACTAAAGCTGGCTATACACTGAGCAGTTCTTGATGAACCGGCCGAAACTCGTTCACTGGGTGGCCCTGTCTGCCGGCTCCCATCTGACATCCTTTCATTGAAAAGTCGAAGGAGCTGTTAGCTCCTTACTTGCTGAATGCAGCCAAGGCGCTCATACCCAAATACTGGCGATCCCCACAGATGCCCACCATTGCAGAATGGTTAACCCAAGTGGATAGACTAAGGTTGATGGAGGAACTCCATCACTCTAGCACAGATACATATACCACCTTCTATGCTACCTGGGCATGCTGGCTACACTTCAAAACAACTGACAGATATGCCTCTCTGCTGGTAACATCTCCAACGGCACCTAATGTACCATCCGACTAACTACACATGCTCACCTGGTAACACCCAGCGTGAGATGTATGCTCTTATAGCGGATCCTGGCAAAACCACACCCGAACCACCCCTCCTCGCCCGCCCCCCTTCCTCCCTTGTCATTGTTCGTGCCCCCATGTGCGTCTGGTGAAGGCTTATGGTTATTTCTTTATATTTACAATGAGTGACACATGTCGTTTATTATAAGTCTTGAGCTTACACCGCTTGTCTCGATGTAAACCACCATTGCCTTTGTATTGTTTATGTGTATGCTTTGGAAAACTCACAATAAACATTTAATAAGTAAAAAAAAAAAAGAAGAAAAGCCAAAGGAGCTGGGTGGAAAATTGTCAACCAAACAGTGCCTACATCAAATAGATGCAGACACCGTTAGGTATTTTGTAAGCCAGCGGGGCTGATTGTCAAAATACAATAGTTACAGCGCTATTTTAAAGTGGATGGAGGAGTCTAATAGATTTTTTTTTCTGTTTGTAAAAAAAAAAAAGAAAAAACACCTCTCCTAGTGTTTACGAAGCATAAGGGTTCAATTTATAATAGAGATTGGATACGGCTTTGTGCAGGACACTGCTGAGACTGCTTTACTTGTTTTTGAACAGGGGTCTCTAGCTCAATTCACTCGGTGGCCACCGGACACATTTTCTTCTCCCATGGGGGCCGCTTGCCAAATTCCATACTCCTGCAGCAGAAATCCCTAATCAGGGGTTTACAAGCGACAGCTGTCGCCCATTCAAGTTAATGATCAGGTGACAGTCACTGCATGTAAACGCCTCCACACCCCATGTAATGGTATGTGATATGATTACATGCAGTTAGAAAACAGTCACTCTCCTTGGACGCATTGATTGCGCATCCAGGGATAATGATTGATTCCTAATCTCATGTAATCATATCACATACCATTACATGCGGTGTTCTGGTATTTACATGCAGCAGCTGTCACCTGTTCATTAACTTGAATGGGTGATAGCTGCCGCTTGTAAACACCAGATTAGGGATTCCTGCAGCAGGAAACACAAATTCCTGACACAGAAATCCCTAAATCGCACCTAAACTTACAGGTATGTATGGGGCCTAATACACACACACACACAAATACAACCCCCGACCCTATATACACACACACACTAAAGCAGAATAATACACTTGCGTGTAAGGTGCGGTGTACCTGACTTGAGAGCCGGCTGCGGGCTGGTACTTTGAGACTCCTGTTTTAGAGTCCAAAAGCAACCAAAGCAAAAAGTACACTTGTAAAAGCACAACCTTGCACTTTGTAAATGGGTTGGATTATTTTGAAACTTATAAAAATCAAACCTCCCAAAACTACATCCATCATAAAAAACAGAGATGTGCGTGACATCAGTCATGGTAGTCCTCCAATGTAGGGCAAAGTGATAGTATCTCTGTAAAGCCCCCTTATATTCCCCTTAACTGTGCCTCCATTGCTGCCGCTTCCTCCTCCTCTGCTGGCAAAGAAACAGGCAGTGGCTAAAACCCAGAGAAGCAGTGATATCAATCCCTGCTCAAGTAAGAGTGTTTGGGCCTACCAATTGGCTGCTAGGCCCAGACACTGACACAGGGGAATATCTGAAAGTGCAGTGTGTTCGGACCCCTCATGCATGAAAAAGAAGCTGCAAGGAAGTGCAGGTGAGTACATGATGGGGGGGGGGGAATTGTGGCCTGGGTTGGCCTATGCAGAGACACAATCACTGTGACCTGCTTGGACAAGGGGACAGTCTCTCATTAGGCATAACAAATATTAAGCCAAGAGTCAATGACTTAGTACAAGCACATACACACAAGTTTCAGGAGACCGGATATGTACCTCTATGTTCCAGGTTAAATAAGGATAAGGACGACAGCACCAGAGCAGACATCTTCAAATACAGAAAGCCAATGACAGCTCTCTGTCTTGGCAGGTTGTATATGGCTCTGTATGCATGCATTTTTTTGGGTAGTTCGAGGTCACAAAAATGATTATGTATACGGTTTGGGTCTTTGGATAGAAGGGCTTAGCACTATAAGAAATATTATGTAGTACAGCTACAAAGCTGGAATTTCAGTTAATAGTAAAAAGAAGTCCAGCAATCCTTCCCCATGGCCGACATAATCGCTGTAGTTAGGAAGAGAGATATTCAGTGTGACAGCTTTGTCCTGACTAAACCAATAAGGAACCAAGAGAAGTGCTGACTTGAAGTGGATAGATCTTAGCAGAATGCCTGCTCCAAGGAAACGGCTACAATAATAAAGTTGTGTGATGTGCAGCTGCAAGATACCTGGTAAATTTACCTTTTAAACACAAATACATACCACGGCCTTGTTTTCTTTAATATTCATGGCCCGTTTAAGAAGAGCATTGGAGTCTTCCATGTTTGGCTGGTCATTTTCTCCTTCAGAATCAGACTCAGCATCCATTTTTTCCCCAGTTGTTGGAGCTTTCCTTTTAGCAGGCATTTTCTTTCTTCCTGCTTTTATTTTGGAAGCGTTCTTGTCCTTGCTCTCACACTTCTTGGTGGGAAACTGCAGAGCAATACGCAGTCCAAACCTCCTTTTTTTTGGTGGCAACGATTCCTCTCCAGTACAAGACCGTGCTGCACTTTCATGATCTTCATCATCCAACTCCTAGGAGAACATTGTAACATTAGAGGTGACACATGAAGATGAGAGTTCTACAGAGTTCTACACTGAGGACCTGAAACACATCCATGTTTGTAAATAATATTCCATATACCCAATGGGTCAGATATGTTCCATCCATCAGGCAAGGTGAGAATTCCATCTCGGCCAGCATGAGACAAGTTTCTTACATTGCTTTGTGACCCCCCCAGCCATTTTTTCCTTGTAAAAGAACTGGGAAAGTGAACAGTAAATCAAGTTTGCTGCAATGTGACGAGGCAGAGCTCAACACAGTGTACATTAGAAGCTGCTGCAAATCAGAGCCTGCCTCATTTCCTGGCTGGAGGACATCCAGCATTACCTAGCTCTTTCCTTCCAAGTCCACCCCTTATATATTTGATGGAGGCTCTGCATCACATCATCACTGAGCTTTTCCTAGAGCAGTCTACAGGTCTTCCACCAGCTCCACCAATCTAGGAAAGCAGACTAAAGGTGTGGGGTGCTGGATCTCTTAAAGCAGTAGGTGCTCTTGGCCAAGTCTGAACTCGTATAGAGAAAAAGAATATCTCTAGGCAGCTGTCCCAGCAGTGGTGGCCAAAAGTCAGGTATTTGCTGGAGTAGGGACTGAATGTGCAAGGAAGAGAGCGCCAAAAATAGAAAAAGTCAAGATTCAATTTTATTCAGATATATCATAAAGCGTCAACACATTTTGGGGCAGTACAATTGGGGCATGGTGCTGTTGGACAAAGTGTGTACTGGATTGATACAATTAGAGGCATCCTGATGGGTGACCGCTCCAGATGATGGTTAAGTCTTTTCAGTCCAGTATGCCACACTGTCTTTGCTCAACAGTATCAAGCCCTGATGGAGGGGGGCTTTGAATCCTGGAAACACATGAACTTTTTGTGATACAACAGTGTGAATAAAATGGAATCTGGACTTTATACATTCTGCTTTTGCAGTTTATTCTTGCACACACAGTCCACCCATCAAGGCATTTTGATATTTGCACACCTCCTTCCAAGTGCATGCCCAATGCTTGCATCAGGGCTGAAGACTCTTGAAAGGAGCACGGAGCACTGCCGCTCTACCCACCAGCCATGAACTGTCTGCATTGAATTATACTGCTACGTATGCCCTCACTTTAGTGGAAATAACATAATGAAAACAAACAACATTCCATAATTCATATCACACACCATAAAATATAGACAAAAAGTTCAAAAGAAAACTGTTACGGTACACACAATAAAATATAATATATATAGTATACATGATTTCACCTTTCTTCACTCATTTTTTTTAAATTCAACTAGTTCCCTTTAATAAAAATAAAAAGATGAAAAAAACATTTGGTAGAAGGTCTATAAATAGATCTTCTGGTGCACCAAAAGAAACTTGTGTAGCGTACTCCATATTAATATTTCATTGTACCATCAGTGGTTGGACTTTGTCCCTCTGAGGAAGAAACCTGTCAAGGAGACATGTGGCATACCTGTACATCTGCATAGCACGGTAATTTTGAATCCCAGCGTCACGATGTTGGATGGCAGACGCCATACATTATATCTAAAGTCTCCTGTACCATATGGGCAGTATGGAGACAGCGGTCCTTAGTGGGAGGATGCTGGGATATAAGCAAAAAGTTCACAAGCACTGATGCCTATGAATATTCTACGGGGATTGCTGTATGGATGAATGTGCCTGCATATGTACTGGAGCGTTGTGTATGAGCTCAGCATTATGTACATAAACCCCTAAAGACCTAGAGTGGAGAATCAGAAACACATATAGAGTATTATAACAGGGTGTTGACACACATGCTCCAATGCCAACAATGGATGAGGATAATCAACTTGCCATCAATTTAAGGATTTGATTATAATTTGTTTGGAGTGCAAGGCAGAAATGTATATATCTGCTGTCGCCGAACTTTGGAGAATATAGCACGGAATACCAGGATTACTGTGGTATGCTTTTGAAATGGATATTTAGACTGATGAAATATTAACGGTTCGTCTATATTTCTCTGGATATAATTCACGTTTTTGTTGCAGAATTACACACACACACATAATACTGTGCAAAAGCTTTAGGCAGATGGGAAAAAATGCTGTAGAGAAAATTCAAAGTGTCAATAGTTTATTTTTTAACAAAATGGAAAGTACATTTATAGAAGAGAAATCCAAATCAAATCAATATTTGGTGTTACCCCCCTTTGCCTTCAAAACAGCACCAATTCTTCTAGGTACACTTGTACACAGTTATTGAAGGAACTCGGCAGGTAGGTTGTTCCAAACATCTTGGAGAGCTAAGCAGAGATCTTCTGTGGATGTAGACTGCTTCAAATCCTTCTGTCTCTTCATGTAATCCCAGACAGACTCGATAATGTTGAGATCGGGGCTCTGTGGGGGCCAAACCATCACTTCCAGAACTACTTGTGTTCTTTACACTGAAGATAGTTCTTAATAACATTGGTTGTATGTTTGGGGTCGTTGTCCTGCTGCAGAATGAATTAGGGGCCAATCACACGCCTCCCTGATAGTATGGCTTGATGCATAAGGATCTGCTTGTATTTCTCAGCATTGAGGACACCATTGATCCTGACAAAATCTCCGACTTCATTAACAGAAATGCAACACCAGACTTGCAAGGAACCTCCACCATGCTTCACTGTTCCTGCAGACACTCATTATTGTACCGCTCTCCTGCCCTTCGGTGAAGAAACTGCCTTCTGCTACAACCAAATATTTCCCATTTTGACTCATCAGTCCAGAGCACCTGCTGCCATTTTTCTGTGCCCCAGTTCCTATGTTTTCATGCACAGTTGAGTTGCTTAGTATTGTTTCCACATCAGAGGTATTGTTTTTTGGCTGCAAGGCCGCAGAAAAATGGCAGCAGGTGTTCTGGACTGACGAGTCAAAATGTGAAATATTTGGCTGTAGCAGGAGGCAGCTTGTTCGCCGAAGGGCTGAAAGCCGTACAATAATGAGTGTCTGCAGCAACAGTGAAGCATGGTGGAGGTTTCTTGCAAGTCTGGGGCTGCATTTCTGCCAATGGAGTTGGAAATTTGGTCATTTAAAATCAAAAACATAAAATTCAAAATACCAACAACATTATACAAAGCCATCCACAACTCTGTCCCAACTACATCTCCAACCTCATCTCAAAATATAACCCAAACTATCCTCTTCGACCACCTGCTATCTAGGTCCTCCCATCCTCTGGAACTCCTACTGACTACCACAACCCATGCGGCTCCTAATCTGTCTGCCTTTAGGCGGTCCCTGAAAACTCACCTCTTCAGGGAAGCTTATTCAACCTCCTCTTAAAAACTGCACATTACTCCCTTAATTGCTCACCCCTTACTGTTATTACCTTCTGTATCACTTCCCCTCCTTGTAGGTTATAAGCTCTCAAGAGCAGGGTCCTTCTATCCCATTTGTATGGTATTGTAATCTAATTATACTGTCTACCCATATGATGTAAAGCGCTGCACAAACTGTTGGCGCTATATCAATCCTGTATAATAGTAGTAATAATCAGTTCCCATTGTTTCAGCGGGTACTGGTACAAAGAGTTTGAGCCCTCCTCCCAGAATATGGTATCCCAGCACAAAGCTTCGGAACACCATTAGCTCATAATACTCTGGTTTCTCAGAGGGCTTGTTACAAGTCAACCACATTACCATCAGCTGAGGAGTTTCACATCTTTAAGAGATCCAACAATATTAATCTCTTTACCTGTTGATCTTTGTCCTTCTCTTTTTGTGGCAACCTTTCTAATGCACCAGTGTCTGAATCACAGTCTTCTGGAATACTTTTACGCAGCTTTTTGGTTTTGTACTTTCCACGAAGAACGGGTTTCTGCGCAAAAAAAAAAGGAAATCGTATAAGATGATGTATTAGAAGAGGACATCTTCTATAGTTACATCCAATATGGCCCCCAGACTTTCCCCATCCTGGGCAAATTTGGCCTTCTGCAATCAAGAAATTAAATCTCTTACCAGTAGTCCTTTAAAAGGTTAACTATAGAGATTTGAACACTGTTCTCGTGCCTCCAATTATCTCATTAAATATCTCCATTAACCTGACTTTTTTTTATCATCCTTCTATTCCAGTAAATGCTTCAGAACCACATTTGTAAAACTGTGGAATGAGAATCTTCACAGACGAGGAGAAAGTCCATATAATGATTGGAAAATATAGGGTTGGTTTTCCAATTGGACATTAAAAAAAGGGAGTACATTTTCTTTTACCAGGAATTGATACTGATGACAATACAGTCTTGCTGATATCGTTGTCCTTCTCCATACCAGTGTTCATGCTCTTAGTGACAGGATCATAAAACTACTATAGGCAGCTGCTAACGGGACTTTTATAAATCCATTTTCAAGTGAAAATTTGGCAAAATATATAATTGAAACACATACACGTCCTTTACAAAAGAATGTATCAGTTTGCCAGGACAGGTTTCTGATACACAGAAGTCATATTCAGTAAGATTACTCTGCTGCTTCCTGGTGTAGCAATACTCCCTAGGTCAGTTCCCTGATAGTTGCACAGAGGTGATGCCAATTCCCTGTTCGATGAGGAGGTTAAGACTGGGGAGGCATTGTTAAACCAGAAGGATGAAGTGATTAACCCGAGCTCTGTTTAACCGTAAATGACACGGTGAATAGAGAGTCTTGACACAGTATTCCCATTAAATTAAAAAACATGGTGTGGTGTGGGCTCACAAACCCGTGAGGTGTGGGCTCACAAACCCGTGAGGTGTGGGCTCACAAACCCGTGAGGTGTAGACAAGCAACCACAAAAGAGCATTTTCAGTATGTGTGGCATCATCTTTCACTGTATACAGATTTCCTAAAGCTCAGCTTTGGGCAGGAGGACAGTTTCAGATATTTCATTAATAGTGAGAATTAGGGCTGCAACAACTAATCGACATAATCGATTATTGAAAAAGTTGTCAACTTTTTCAATAATCGATTAATCGGCTTCCGATCAGTTGGCCCTGTTCACAGCTCCACACACTGTGCGCCGCACCTCCTCCCCACCTCACGCTCGCCGCTGCCAGACCCGCTCGCATCCACGCTCCACATGCCGCACCTCCTAGCTAACTAATCGATTTTGAAAATAATCGTTAGCTGCAGCTCTAGTGAGAATTAAACAGACCTTCAGAGATCCAATCATCCAGGCTACCACCAGCATCCTCAAAACAAGTTTTTTTTCTCACCTGATTTGTACTGCTCTCACTGTACTTCCATGGCACTCAGGAGGTCGGCACTGCAGTTCTCATAGACCTCAATGCTACCATTGTATCCCTGACCCCCTCTCCTCCTTGCCAACCACAAAGCAAAGGGCCCTAGGCTCAATTTTGTGATTGGCCAACAAGAGAGGGGGCTGGGAATGCAAGGTCTATGAAACCTGCGGGGCCTGCCTCCCGAGCTTCCCAGAAGTATTTTTAAGGGGGAACCCCACCCCCCAAAAAAGGAAAAGAAACCCCCCAGGATGAGCGCCCCCATCATACCAGGCCACATGCCCTCAGAACAAGGGGACGGCCACATCTGGGTGCCCCTTAATTAAAAGGGGTACCCAGGTGCACATGAGCCCCCTTGGCCGCAGACCCCCACAACCAATGGGTCAGAGCTTGTGTGGAAGAGTCAAAGGGGCTTGTAAAGTTGAGCAATTTCGGCCGAAAGATGGTACTTCCCCAAAAGTGCAATTTTTGGCCGATATGTTTCAGCGGCCGAAATTTCAGTGCATCCCTAATAAAAATCGTCTGAGACAAACTTGTCTCAACTGGAGCGCAGTTAATCAGCTTTTAAATCTTCATTTTCTATGCTGTGTTACAAAACTAAAAAGAAAGACAGAAATTGTCTGGTTGCCATGGGCAACGTAACCAGTTGAGCTCGTTTATGTATGTTTATCCTATGTGGGAGTTACGTCACTCTGGCCCGGTCAAACAAGATGGCCAAAAATCCCCAGCCTAGAAGACGACTGGACGGAGATGTCTGCACCAGTGAGGGCCGTTTACTTCCACTTTAAGTGGGAGGGCATGGTTGTCCTTTAACCCCTTCACGACCAGCGACGTACAGTGTAAGTCGCTGGCATCGGGGGGTGTTTAACTCCCGGCGGCACTCTGTTTAAACTTGTAAAGCCGACTGTCGACTTCAATAGCTTATTTAGAGTGTAAAGGTGACACTGGGGGGGTCTTTTGGACCCCCAGTATCACCTTAAAGAGTACCTGTCATCACCATCTACTATCACATAGGGGGGCTTGAAGCCCCCCTATGTGATAGCAATTACAGTTAAAAAAAAACACAGTTTTTAAAATTAGCATACACTAAAAATAAATTTAACAAAATGTAAGTACCCAGCGAGCTTTGTGCGTCTTCATGTAAACACGCGTCAGGTGTGCCTACGTATGAAGGACGACGAACGGGCTACACATGTTGGGTATCGCCGCGCACGCCGAGAGCATTAATACCCAGGTGCACATGAGCCCCCCTGCCGCAGACCCCCACAACCAATGGGTCAGAGCTTGTGTGGAAGAGTCCCTTGCCAAATGGGCTTGTAAAGGGGGGACCCCAATACCGAGGGTATGTGGCCTGGTATGGTGCAGGGCCGCTTGCTTGTCCCTCGCTCGTCCGCCCCTTTCCTGCCTTGCCAGGCCTGTGCTCGGATCAAGGGTCTGGTAGTAATTTTAGGGAGGACCCCCATGTGTTTGTTTCAAGTTTTGGGGGCGGGGTTCCTCCTTAAAATTTCTACTTGACCTAAAGGGCCTGATATGCATGGGCTTCATCCCAAATGTCTTTTTTTTTTTACTCGGGTGGTCCCTCCTAACTTTCCAACCAGACCCAAGGGTCTGTTATGGATTGGAAGGGGTACCCCACGCACTTTTGTGTTTTAACTATCTAACTTGGGGTCCCTCCTATTGCAACGCTGATATCCATGTGAAAACTACTGGGCGGTTGCTATTGCTTTATCTCACATGGGCTTTAAAAACGCTTCAACGCCTGGTTTTGCCGCACGTGTGAGAGAGCCCTTATTTGGCTGTTGCAAGAGTTGCCAGGCTAAAGCAGAAAGCCTCGTTACTGGAAGGATCTTTAGGTAAGAAACTTTCCCATAGACTCACATAAGATAAAAATAGATTTTGGGTTTATACACACACATTGATAGGCATTCAATAATCAGTATAAACAGCCGGCGTGCTATTGTCAGTCTCCACTGACAACATAAAAAGCTCCAAAAAGGAAGGTCCTCGCTGTGATTTTTATTTTTCTATACACTTACTAGTTGACTCTTGAGATATCTCCAGGTCTGCTAACCCTACCAACCCAAATGAATCCTTTACTGAACTCACTTCAATAAGCTGAATGGTGCACTGTGCAACTCATTACTGCTCTTTGCAATACGTCCTGGATAAGCCTGTATGTGTTCCCTCACCTTGAGAACACTCCACAACTGTGATCTGCTATATTCCACCAGTTAGGCGGCTGAAGGAAAGAGTTTTGCTTCCCTACCTGTAACAGCTTAAATGGAAGCACTACAATATCTCACATTTTAATGACTTAATGGAGGAATGTTTGTGAGGAGCTGCACGCCATCTTTACAAAGAATAAAAAATTACTTTCAAGAAAAACTGCATTAGCTCGTTCGCCTTTTGTGCTGCTTTGCCAGGACCCTGCTGAGAATACCAAGCACCAACTCATTTTTCACCGTTCCCTTTATTATTGCGACCTCGTCTCCCGAGGAGGCGGCTTCAGGGGAGCACAATTACTGATTAAGAACAAAGATGAAACATACTTCACCCCATGAGAGCTGGGAGCTGATGGGCTTTAATTAAGAAAACTTGCCGCTGAAATTTTTAAAAGGCCATTTCCTTCCAAATCACCTTTATTAAGAGTTTCTGGACTCCCCTCTATGATTTTCAAGGGTCTCAAACTGTTCACCAGTCCCGTCAGAACTCAAATGCTCAATTTTTCAAAATACATGAATAAATAAGAGAGGTGTGGATTTTTTTTTGAAAGAGCAAAAGTAGTCTAAACTTCCATACAACACAAAAATTGAGGCATGAGAGTTGGGGGTGGTCGGAACAACCTCATATATTGAAGCCAAGGAGCTAAAGGCAACAACAAAATAAAGACTTCCCAGAAAAGTGTAAGAAAAAGGAAAACTATTCTGTTGAATTTAAAGTGACATTAGAAAAACATTTACAATATTAATATTGTGATAGGGTGTGTTCAGAGAGGACTCGGATATATGGAATTCATAGAAATGTATTGAAATTATTTTTCCTTAAAATCATTTAGTTTGATAAAATTCATTTAGAATGGTGCTCATATGCACCTCAAAACTGCATTTCTCTATCCCTAGGATTGTTGCTGATTAATAAACTATTCATAACATAACAATTTCAAAATGTATAAACCACTTGCTGACCGTTGTGTTTAGACCCCCTTCCTGGCCAGGCCATTTTTCAGTATTCAGCATTGCAGTACTTTGACATTGTACTATGTGCCCCCAGTTGTTTACAAACATTGGAGTGATCAGCTGATCGCTCCAGTGTTTGTTCTGCACACAATCAGTAAATATCACACGCACATATTTACTGATCCTCCACTTTGGCTAAAGCGACCATGAGCATATAGCAGAACGGAGAAAGCCACTGACGTAAAGGTGG